AATAATTCATAAATAATTTTTTAGACTGCACGTACCAAGAGTTGAACTCATACCCTACCAAATCTGAAACTCAGAGTCAGTGTTCATTAGCAAACTGACTCAAATGCATACTTGACTTGTATGTTATTTATATGTTAACACTAAAATTAATTTTAAGTTAAAGTTAACTAAGAAAAAGGAACGGAGTAGGTCCTTTGTTCTGGAAGCAAATAAAACACATTTTTTTATTAATATACCTATAAACAGTAAGTTTCATATAATTTAGAATTACTATATACATCTCATTCATATAATGAAAAATAAATATAAATTTTAAAATACTAATTAGTTTTGCAATTAACTACAATTTCACAAGTTTTAATAGCATTTATTAACAAAGTTTAAAAACAAAAATATTTTATAAATATATTTTTATAATAAATTTCATTTTATTTGTATCTAGCTGTGTTTATTTAGCAGTAATAGTAGTTCTTAATGCACATAATTACTTGAATATTTAATTTAAACTCTAAATGAAAATTAAATTCTCAAATGCATTAACTATAATTTTCTAGTATTTTTCTAAATAATTCTAATATTCAAATATATTTGCACATATATTTTATATAACACTCCATAAAACTAAAATAACTGAAATGAAACTGTCGAAGTTGGAAAACTTTTAATTAAAATTATTTTATTTTTAATAACAAAAATGGAAAATATTCATGAAACAATGAGGAAAATACTTGCGCCTGACACTGCAATTGCCTTAATCATTTCAACTGATGTTTTTATAGTTATAATAAAACTTTGCTATAAATTTAACTTTTCTAATAAAAATATAATTAAAATTATTCAAGAATATATTTCAACTGCAGTTATTTTAATATAAATAATTTATTTCAATATTTTATTTGAATATCTACATTCTTCACATACTAAACATACTAAACTCTTAAACTCGGTATATTCCTTACTAAATAATTTCTTGATATTTAAAGATATTTGCTCTAAAGCAGCTATGTTAAACCGATTAAATTTGCTTTAAGGATACTTCACTAGAATTTATTAGCTACTCACAGACAATGTCCTTTGACTATCGCATTGCTTCCACGGCTTCATAGTTTAATTATTGTCTGGCATGAAGTTTGTTTTTCCTAGGTTCGTGCAATTTATTTTATTGTCTTAAAGAAACAATAAAATTATCTATTAGTGCTTAATTCCTTAGCTTACGCGTACGCATAAAGCACATTTAATTCGACTGCAATATTTCAATGTTAAATAGAAGACGCTTCGGTATATTGTTTCCGAGCGGAATTTAAATTTAAATCGATTTTTATTCACCGACGCGCACAAGGATCTTCTTCGCTGACGCTCAAGGCGGAATGTAATCCAACGAAACGGAACAAAACCGAAGCGGATGTTTCAGTGGTTCCGCCAAGGGCCGTATTACATAAAATAAAGATTTATTTTTCTGCTCTTGTTAATGTTATTGTTGTTGTTGTTTGTCCTTTGCCGCTTGTAGCTAATGGCGATATTGCCGTTGTTTTCCACTGGATACGCCTTTTGGTGTTTTGGCATTTTAAAGTTGAACACTTTATTGCGATGGAGTCGTCGTACAATCTACATTCAGAACTTCTTATTTACGCCTTTAGTTATTAATAAAGCAGAATAAGTCAATGTAAATACACACTTTTACATGCCTTCCACTAGTAACTCAATCTCGCGGGCTTTAGCCTTAATATTGTGAAATGTTTACAAGAAAAATCTCAGATCCGCAACAAGGATTTTTTCATATTATATATGTTGTAATTATTTATGCGATGTTTTTATGTTCGTTTAAAATGTAATTTTAAATAAAAGTATATGTAACGCATATATAACCCATTGAGGGTTTGTTGAACTTTAGATATAAAAAATTTGTATTCCATTTGGTAAGAGTTGTAACAAGTTTCTTGGTTTTGCATATTACCTCTTTTATGTTGTTGAAAACCCCTCTTTAAGCCCAGAATGAACTATTGTTCATCACTTCAGCAGACTAAGCAATAATTGACCTCAGATCTGCATACCTTCCCGAGGAGCCGGTAACCATTCTCAAATCTGACAACGCGGTGTTGGTTAGTTTGTCAGTTTTCGCTCTATCCTTTATGTATTTTTTGATCGGATCAATCTTGAGGTCCGTGAGGATGTCATTCGTCCTAATGTATCATAGTTATTACCATGGTTGAAAAGTCTTCTCAGAGCCTGGCCTTGTGCAATTTCTAGCTGGTGAATAGTTGTGTTTGAAGCTTTGCTAAACGCTACACATCCATACAGAAGTGACGGACGAATTATTTGGTTATATATCAGTTTCCTGTTCTTAGCATTGAGATTCATTTCTGAATAGCAGTTGGAAGTGATGAAGAATTTTGGCACAGCTAATTCTTTTCAGTTGAACATGTTTAAGCCAAGTGAGTCGTTTGCTGTTGTATGAAGAAAAAATAAATATTTCTCTTTTTAATTAAGATAACATAGTATCTTATGGCATTTTCAATCGGTATTAATCGGATTAATCGGATTTAATCAGATTTTTAATATTAAATTATTGGCTATAAATGCACCCCGACCTAAAAGATCTACTATGCGTCTGAAAGCCCAATTCTAGACTATCTATAAATCTTGTAACTGCTGTGGTTTTAATTTTATCTATTTGATTTGAGATCAAGCTCCTATTTCCAAGATAAACAACTCTATATATTGCAACCGCTGGGCAGTTGCAAAGAACATGTCCTGATCTTTCTTTCACCTCACGGCATAGTCGACAGGAATCACTTGCTACCGCACATATATACTTCAAGTGGTGATTGAGTTTACAGTTGTAATGAACCTTTTCTAGCGGTTCGTTTATAGCTGGGATAACTCAGTCTTGTCCAAGGTCCACACAAGAAATTTATTTAGTGAGACCCCGTCACTTCTGATTGCTCTTAATTACAGATACCTAGGTTCGAATACCAATCGGAATCACAGACACAAAGGAATCACTTGACTGAAATAGACACGATATAATACCAGCACGCGTGACTGTTAAAGCTACGTGAGTGGTATTACAGGTCGCTGATCACACGCCCTTCCCTGTTCACTGTTAAAGCGCCCAGGGGCCGGAGACGTTAGGTGACTATTAAAGCTACCTATCGTTTCCGACACTATGGTAAAGACTCACGTGACTATTAAAGCTACGTGAGTTATACCCCGTACAACCGAGATTCAGTTACTATTGAAGCCCCGAATCTTTCTTACCTGTGTCTCTCACTTGTGTCGTTGTGCTGGATTCCCACCTTGAATTTATACCGTTCAGGAGTAGCTAGTCTATGTGGTACTTTATCAATTCTGTATTTGGTTAAGAATCTGATTGCGTTTGTTGAAATACACTTTTAGTTTATTTTCCTTTTAATTTATTTATTCGATATAAAAGAAATTGTTAAGATTTATTATATTAACAACCAAACAATTATGTCTAAGATATAATTTGTACGTACTTTTATTTGGCTTTACAGCCACTAGTAAAATTCAATTGTTAAGTTTTTTTCCCAATTTATTATTGCAAAATTTTCAATATTTCGATATTATCAAATATATATAATCTATGTGTACAAGATTTTAATTTGTGCGTACTTTTTATTTTTACTTAACTTTGACTTTGGTTACAAAATTCAATTTTTAAATGTTCACAATTTATAAATAAAATATTCTATATTTCGATATTATCAAATATATAATTTCTGTGTACAAAATTTTAAATTTTACGTACTTTTTATTTTTACTTAACTTTGACTTTGGTTACAAAATTCAATTTTTAAATGTTCACAATTTATAAATAAAATATTCTATATTTCGATATTATCAAATATATAATTTCTGTGTACAAAATTTTAAATTTTACGTACTTTTTATTTTTACTTAACTTTGACTTTGGTTACAAGATTCAATTTTTAAATGTTCACAATTTATAAATAAAAGTTTCAATATTTCGATATTATCAAATATATAATTTCTGTGTACAAAATTTTAAATTATACGTAATTTTTATTTTTACTTAACTTTGACTTTGGTTACAAGATTCAATTTTTAAATGTTCACAATTTATAAATAAAATTTTCAATATATATAATCTCTATGTATAAAATTTTTTTTTAACAAAATATTCTCACTAAGTTTGAAGAGTCACTCAAATTTCACTGGTGACACCGCCGTCTTAGTCACGTACTTTTTAACTGCAACGGAAACCAGAGCCAGGAGTCTTTCTTCCGCGGTAGAACAAACAAGAGACCTTCTTCTTGGTGAACGCTCCTTTTATCCCCTCCATGGTCAACGGTGTCAGCTGAAAAAAACGTTAAAGTTTGTTGACCCAACATTAAAGCTCCTTTTCTGTACCGCACTGAGCGAAAGTTTAGTTTCACGGCGAATTTACATTTCTTTGAGTACCTTTTAGAAGTGGTTTTTGTCTGAGTTGTGATCCACTTCTACACCTTTTCTGCACAAAGCTTTCTTCGTTTGACAGGTCTCTTTACTATTATTTTGTTTTGCTCTCGTTTGTTTGTTAGCAATGTGTTGTGCCGGTGAACGTGTGTATTTAATTCTATTAATTAGAAAATTATTTTAAAATGATTTTATTTTCCAATAAAGTTCCAGCAAAATAGAACACCCAACGATAGCTCAAGATATGTGTCTTATTTATTCAAAAATTGTTCACGCACTAACCAAGGATTTTCATACAATTTTAAGATTTGTCAAATTCAAAGTCACGTTGTTGGTGGCAGAGGATTGGGGTGAGTTGGTTTAACTTAATGTTTTTATAAGTATTTAACAATTTTTATTACAGGAACCTTCGAGTGAGTGTTACTTGTTGTGTGTTAGGTGGTCGTGTTGTGTTTAGTAGACAGCTATACCCACGACGTTGTAACGATCAAATTTTTGGTTGACAAAATTTTGGCCGTTACACTCCCTCCTTTCTTTCGGGAAACGTGATTTGCCCTGAACCATTACCTGCCAGCGTGATTTCTGTGACGTTGCTTTGGACTCTTATATATTTTATAAAAGTCGTGTTGCTCTTTGGTGTGATGATCGTCTTGTTGAAATACACTTCGCTGTTTCACTTGTTGTTGTCGACTTTGAATACTAGGTGGATTTTTCGATGCGTGATACTCGTAACATACTCCTACTTGTTTTAGAAGGCGGATTGTTTTTTCCTTTTGCTGTGGTAGTTGTGTTAATGGTAATGATTGGGTAAGACTAAGTATTTCATCATATATTTGACCTTTTGTTGAATTCGTTTTGATAATTTTATCCTTTTGCTTCCATGGTATTAGCGAAGTCTTTGACGGTGGTTGTTCTTGCGAGATGTTAAACACTTCTTGTACTGCGTGCTCTGGGGTATCTAGTAGCTGTTTTCCATCTGGACCTGGCGGTACATTGATAGGGCTTGCACTTCGGTGTCGTTGTACTTCTTCCATGCTACTAGGTCTTGAATCTTGCTGTTGTGCCACGTGCTCATGTATATCTAGCTGTTGACCAAATTCTGCTGGCATTTCGTTGAATTTAGGATTTGGTTGTCGTGGTATTTCTGGTATTTGTTTTTTGATATGTTTTAGATCTTGGTGCTGTGCTGCTTGTTCTTGTGTAGCTTGATGTTGTTTTACATCAGGTGCTACCATGATGGGACTTGGATCTCGGTGTCGTTGCGCCTTTTGTACACTATTAGGTCTTGGATCTTGTTGCTGCGTTACTTGCTTCATTTGAACTTGTAATATTTCCTGTTTTTGTATGACTCGTGGTTGACAATACTCTGCTGATATTTCTTTGACTTTAGGACTTTGTTCTTGTTGTACTTCTGGTACTTGCACTTTGATAGGTCTCGAATGATGCTCTTGTTGCATTTGTTTCAATTGAACTTGCAATGTTTCTTGATTTCGTATTACTCGTTGGTGATTAAGCTCTGTTGACATTTCTTTGACTTTAGGACTTTGTTCCGGTTGTACTTCTAGTATTTGCAGCCTGATAGAACTCGGATCTTGCTCTTGTTGCATTTGTTTCAATTGTACTTGTAATGTTTCTTACTCTTGTGGAACTCGCTGTTGCTTAATTATTTTTGGATTTCCTGGGATTAGTTTGCGATCTTGCGGTGATACATGATGTTGTTCCGCGTCATTCCGATCGCACGCTTTGGTTGTGATATGCTTTCTGGCCCAGTATTTGAAGTAAAAATTCTAGACGTTCTGCAGTGTTTGCTTGCGATGGCTGGTGTTGCTGCTGGCTGCGGAAAGGTGACTTGGAGACTGGACTATGAATGATTTTATCACATTTCGGTGTATTGGCTATGCGTCTCATGGTCTTCTGTATTATCAGCGGTCGTGCACATTCCACTGCTACGCGCCCGAAGATTTCCTCGCTATCTCGTGCTCGACTTACTTCATTCTGCTCTTCGCGTAGTTCTTCGAAGTCCTCAGCTAGTGCTATTA